TACCATATGAGCATTGATCATTGATGAGAGACAGCACTCATGTGATGTTTACTTGTGACATCCTGACCTGTAGAGCAAAGATGGGTTTATAACTTTCCTCTTAACATCAAAGCACAAATGCAATTTCAGAAAATTTCTCAAAAGAATTATTGCTTCATTAACCTGTATGTTTACATAGCACTCCTAGCACTTTAGAGTTGTACCTTCTTGGCTACAGAGCCAACCGCATTTACCTAGAAGTAGGATCGTTGCAGGCAATTCTTCAGCTAGCATGCTCATCTGGGTGACGTTAGTTTAGGTGCTGTGAGGGAGGATGATTAGGATGTCCTTGACAATGATGCAGTCTCTCAATAAACTCCAGGGCCATGCACTCCTCCCCTAAAATTTAACAACATCATTGCATCATCGGAGGGATCCAGGTCAGATTAACCTTGTGAATATAAGGAATGTGTGAAAATGATTGTAATATCTTCAAGGTAACGTGTGTGCCTTGATGTCTGTAAAATTCCTGATAATCAAATGCTAGAATCGAAATGTTCTTTTTGCAACAGTCATGTGCCTTGACATCATGTGATTATATATTTTAATAATTAATATTAATAATTATGATTACGAAAAGCAAAATCGATACCAACCATTTAATTATTATCTTGATGAAAATTCTCTATAATATTACCTAAAGATAAATCCTGCACCATCCACATTTTGATTCCAATAAGATATTTTATATAAAATAATAATATAAAAAATTTTTTTTTGTATACCTCTTGTCATCAATAATCAATACCTTGTCTTCTTTAGGAGAACCGTATCATATCATGCCAAACAACATTTACGTTTCTTCATTTTATTATTTTACCAAAAAAAAAAAACCAATCGCGTCAACAAAATAACACTTCTTTGTACAACCCATATGTATAAATTACAGTATTAATAATATATATTAATAATATACATGTTCGATCAAATAAAAGATAAAAAATTTCTTTTCTTTAAAAAAGATGGATAAAACTAAAATGAAAAGAAAAATAAGCAAAGAAACATCAAAGGAAAATTAAATGAGTCATAAGAATGGTGATTATCACTTTATTTATCACCATAAGACCAAACAAATAGTTTTTCTAGAAATATTATTTTAAGTCAATTAATTTACATTTTTGGCAGCTAGATTAATGCCGACTTTTAATGTAGAGAGAATGAATCATCCCGAAGACGATAATTATAGTACTAGTTCACACTAATACAATTCAGTAACATCTGAAAGCACTGATTCAGGTTAGAATGATAAATGTGACTACTGGTTGGACTGGTTGTTGGAGTAGGTGATGAAAAATCGGAATTTGTTACAGGTGTAAACTAGCGTTGGTCGCCAAAACTATTTTGAGAGGTGAAAGTCAAAACTAAAATTAAAAGTTATATGTCAAAACTAAATCAAAAGTCAATAGTCAAAAATCAAAACTAGTTTCGACTTATGGCGAAACCTTTTGACTTTCGCACGGTTGCGAAACTCTCGAGTTTTGGAAACCAACACTAATAAACATCCAGATCCATCAATACAACAAGAATCAGCAATTTGTTCCAAGAACATGAGATTGCAATTCAGAGTGGGCCAATTCAACACCTTTAATGCTTGGATTATTCTTTTTTTTTTCACATAATTCTTTTTTTTGTGCTTTGGTCAGTATTTTTCTTGTTTTCTACATAGTTTAAAATAATGATTAATTATAATGAATCATTTTATTCACAATTTAAATCTTATTTATATTACTTTAGATTGGTTTGAATTTTCTTCTGATCTGTTTTGTGAGTACATATTTTCAACTTTATTATTAAAAGTATAGTTGTTTTATTTTTAAATTGATAAAGTTTTTTTTTTGATTATAGACAAAGGTGGATATTTCCTTCCCTTTATATAAGAAAAAATTTTCCTATTGATTAAATCATAAGTTTTATTTTCACGAATCAATTATACAAGCCATAAATTTTAACTTTACAAATCATAAGTTTTATTTTACATTTAATTATTTTTAATTATAATAATAAGCTATTGTTTCTATTTTTTCCAAAAATATTGACACTTAAAATCATAATTTATTTATTTATTTTAATCATATGAATCATGTTATATTATCATCATACGTTACGTTGTAGATAATGATAAGGTTCTTGAGATTAAAATCATTTTTAATTTTTTCTGTAATAAACGAAATCTTTTGTTAGTTGATCGTTTACGTTGCCTGATGTCGATCAATAATAATAATAATATATATATATATATATATAATAAAACTGTATCAAAACCTTCAATTAAAGAGATACAGTCATGAAACTAAGTGGAATTATAGTAAATAGATCAAAATTTTAGAGTTTTTCTTACCAAATAAAAAAAATTTTTTTATACATAGTAAAGAGTTGTTAATAGGTAAAGTTTATAACCAAATGAGACAGGGCAAAAGACTATTTACAGATCATATTAACGCGAATCTCGAGAGTTGATTTCTGTTTAGGAAATAATTTACAATAATTAACAAAAATGGGCTAGTTACAGTGCAGATCATCTATAATCTAAAAAAGTTAACCTATAAATTTTATTGTTCATGACCCAAGCTTCAAAACTTATCGACTAGTTTTTTATTAAACTAAAAATTGGCAGAGCCTTAGAATTTTGAAAATTCCAAATTTTGTACGTTTAAGTAACAAATTTTTTAGAATATTTTTTACCCCCACATAATCAAACAACTAATAAAATGCTAAAATCGTGCGCCAAGTGTTGTCGGTGAAGTAATACGTACCCATTTTTTACAACGAACATATTACATTGGGGGTGTCCTACATTTTATGATTTTACAAACATAGTCAATCACATATCACATATATAAATTTTCATATATATATGACAATTTTTTGTGAGATACTGACTCCGAATTAACCTTAAAACATACTAGAGAAATAGGACAATAAATTAATAGGCCCTTTTTTATTTTAATATAAACTATGGCATTTATTTTAAGCTAGAAAATCAAAGTAAAAGTTGCAAATATATGTTATGAAATTTTATGCAAGTAAAATTGTAAAAAGCTCTCTATTAGTTTAAAGAGCATCAAAAATTGAATCTATAACATAAATTTTTATTTGAATATAACATATAGTTTAAGAGTTATTTTGAGTTTTGTAATTTTGTGAAGTTTGCCAATTTGTATAATAAATTTAAAATTTTTTTTTGTGGCACCAAAAAATAATAATAAATCCGCAAAACCAGGACTGAGAAAACTCTATTGAATGTGACTGCCAACACTATGATTCAAAAGTACTTTAAAAAAAAAAATTGTGACTGCCTCACTATAGATTCGATTAATGGAAAATGGAAAAGGTCACCGCCTTTATATAATTCGAAGGAAAAAATGTCCTCAGTTACACTGAATTCGCAAACATAGAGAAATGAAAAATGTCATCAGTTACACTATAATTCGCATTATTAATAAAAAAAATTTATCTTGGTCATATATACCAAAAAAAAAAAAAATGAAAATTCAAACTAAAAATAGTAAAAGAATTCCTTATGATTCATGCCAATGACATTTTACTACATACTCTAACTTTCAAGAATTTTTCAATGCTAAAAAATTTATTTGCAAATGTGGTCAAATTATTTCACTTGAAATCAATTATCAAGTTGCAAACTTTAAAAGACATTCTCAGAGTAATAATTGTAATTTTTTAATAAATAATCAACCTAGTGTCAAAGCATTCTTTACAAAAAGTAACCATGAAGAA